CCCCCCAGATTTGCCGATCACGCATCTTCGTGCTTGCCAACGAGTGCACCCGTGTTGTTCCAATGTACCCTTCCCAGTCGGCGATGTCACATTACATTCTTTAGCGCAAAGTGTGTACGTAGCCACCTTTCTCCCAAAACATGTAATCACTACATGCTTTGCCGACTATGTAACTAGTACATCCGGTGCGATTCGGCTAGCTTTCGACCTCCTCCCCCTGGCCTCAAGTTTTTTCGTATCAAAATAAATGTTTGTTTGCATTGCCCATCCTTAGAAATAAGGAAATTGTAAGTTACAATTAGGGTCCTCCTCCTCAGTGATATTGTTCTCAGAGTCAGGATGACAAAGGGTGATGTTTGTATCCTTCAAACCTTTTGAGGCTTTGTCAGATTGTCCCGATGAGCTGTTGCTCAGCATGCCGGGGAACAAAAATTTTAGCGACCTGAAAGCAAGGGATAGGGCGAAGGGTTGGTGGCAGTAGTCGACAGTAACCAATACGTGGACTGGTGGAACGTACTGCCAGTTCAGACCTGGCATGTGTGGTATGTAGGTTGTGACTGCGCACCGTGAGCATTTCTTTAGTAACATATGGTAGCTTGAGCTATGGATTGTCGGTGACTCTTTGTTAGTCCCGCAGGTAGGTTTCCCCTGTGGAATGCATGGAGAGGTTGGCTCAGAATCCACTCTCATTTGCTGTCAGCGTGACAGAGCAATGCAAAACTCCAGTGTTGCCCCATAGGCTAGGGATATGCTTTGGGTGCATTGTTTGGAAGGCCAATACGAGGGGAGCTTATGGGAGTTGGAGTTGGGGCGGATCCAGAAAAAATCATGAGTAACAGTTTAACATTGTGACTGAACATGTGCCGATTGTGCCAATGCGACTGGATCGGTTGCTGCGAAGTTTTTAGTAGCTTTGGGTGTCGAGATTCCAGATAACCAGTTGGATGGGCACTACAAGCAGCATCAACAAGGCATAGTCCAAGTCCTGAATTGTGTTGTGTGCAACATGTTTGTTTGTTTGAAAGTGTTTCGGCGAAGCTTGCTATCCGCGTTGGGAGAGGTTGGCAAGTTCGAATTCGGAAAAACCCTTGCTGTTTTTAAGGCTACACCGTGGACTACGAAATCCGTTGGAGGAACCTGTGTGAGTTTTTTTAGCTTTATATATGTGCGAAGGATTACTATTTTCAGGTGCAAAACCGCACAACCATTCGGTATCAGACCATCCTTTCTTGTGTCCAACATCCCGTAGGCAATTTGACGACTCTGAGTTAAGCATGGAGATGAGGCATGGAAAGCAGTGAACGTGTTGCTTTAAATCTTAAAACATGTTCCAATTTCTTCACTTTCATTGCTTTCCGACCATTTGACATTTGTGGGAGGTACATGCCAATGGCAACCGTCCTCGCTCTCCTGATTCTGTCGGCAATGGCTTGTTGGTTTGCAGCTAAGAGCCAATCCCTTCGACGAACCGTAGGCTGGGCTGGCTGCAGCTATCTACAGCCAACAAGCTTTACCCCTCCATCATGATAGCTGATAGCGTGTCAACGCGCAGGCAAGCTCCATCCAGTTGTCCGCAGTTTGTTGCTGGCGATGGGATTGCAGTGGACGTCGCAGGCTCGTTTTCCTGAGCATGCCCTTCTGGCTATGTAATGCCTGATGGGGCTTAGACCAGTAAAGCTGCGTACATGGTGCCGGTAGTTGTGCTAGGGCCTTTTGTAGTTGGCGTGCTGCCCATGGAATGACAGCTGATCAATACCACGAAGGAAATAGAAAGAAAGTAACTTTTGAAGTCATTTCAATATGGTTTCAGGCCTTGCACTTGCTTCATCTACTCGACTATCAGAAGGATGGTATTTTCCTTGGGATGTTTGACAGTGCTTTAGCTGCTTGAAGCTGCTTAGGGTAGTTAGATCCTCAAGTGGCATCCCATTCCCAGGTCGTGGCCTCCAACTGGCTGATGGCCTCGCTGAGGTGCTGTTCATGCTGAGCCAGGTACCTTGGCGCCTCTCAAAGCCTGACGCTGCCGCGGGTTCGCCACGTTTTGGGGAGAGCAAACTTGAACACATTCTTCTTGGTGTGACTGGCAGGTTGGAGCTGCGTCACTACTCATTGCCATTGCCCAGGGCTACAGTCTTGTACGGTCCAAGCTGGGAGAGGCTGAAGAGGGTGCAGGACATGCAAAACGAAGAGCCATTTCACTTCAACTGCACTTATATATCGTTCATTCCCCCTGAGGTGGAGTTACTGGTTCCAGTGGTTGTGGTTGTCACGGTGCTGCATGTGGCTTTGGTGGCAATAGGCAAGATGCAGTCAGAGGCCCGGATGCAAGATTGCTAGCGTTTTTTCAAGTTTGAGTATTGTTTTGGGATGGATAGCTGTCGGCATTAACGGTTTAGTAGCTGCAATGTTTACTGTCGCACGCAGGACTACAAGTATCATGAGAATGAAGGCCTTGTTGGCTGGATTCTTTTGCTTGTACGCCTCAGCCTTTTTGTGTGGTTTCGGTCAGGTTGCTAAGCTGCACAAAGACGGTCCATGTTTCCAGAGCCACACCAGCATTCCTTGATGTGTCCAATGGCTCAATAGGACCAAGAGGCCGGAGAGCCTCCCTTCCATTTATACTTCTGGCAAACAAAACTTTATGCCTTCTGTTGGTCTTGATTCCAGGGTTGAATGACCATGACACACTCGACCAGTACGTCCTCCATTTGAATTAAGTTTCTGAGAGGAAGTGTGCAATACATCGCTGGGACAAATTGAAGGCCCTGCAAATTTGTGGTGTTGGCTTTTGATGGTTTTTGTACTGGTTACGGACTTAATAAGCGCTGATGGTCCTTCTCATTATCTTGTTGTTGGTCCGTCTCTTGTTTCTGGGGTTCCTCACCCTTGCATCCTTTGTTTGACAGGGTCCTGGAAGACAAGCTATACATGCTAATGTTGGTTTGTTGAAATCCTTCGTGTGCCAATATGTCTTAACGTCTTAACCGTGTTGGCACACAGGTGCATGTTTCCGCAATAATGCGCAGACCGGATTAGTAACCCCCCCCCCCCCACCGGGGAATGTAAACAAGATCACGAAGGTCTGAGATACCATTCAGATCCATTCATGAGGTCCACTTTTCTGGTTAATCTACTAAGGAGGGAGTAGGAGTAAGTAGCAATAATAATAAGCAAACACAAACAAAAGGCCAGGGACACAGGATCAAATTAATAGGGGGTAGTAGTTCAGATTTTGGGGGTGACCAGCCCTTGTGAGGGGTAAAGATTCGTTTCAATGCGTGTGCGCAAAGATTTTTATATGCCTTGAACCCTAGACATTTAAATCAGTAGTAGGTAGTGGTAACAGTACCAGTAGCAGTAGAAGTAGCAGCAGCAACAAAATGAGTAGTAGGAGTAGTAGTGGTGGTGGTGGCAGTGGCAGTGGCACTAGTAGTAGTAGTAGTAGTAGTAGTAGTAGTAGTAGTAGTAGTAGTAGTAGTAGTAGTAGTAGTAGTGATCTGGTGGTGGGGCTCGGATTAACTGGGGGGTGTTCTAGAACCCAACAAGCTTATTCTGTGAAATTTGGCAACATTTGGCAACCAATAACATATACCAATACTATGTTTGATTTGGACTAACCAGGGGAGGTTTGTTAATCCTATGTTTTTTATACGAGGCCTAATCCGCAATTTGATTGAGCCAACGGAAAAGTATTTTTCTATATATACGTAGGTTTTGTCCTAGGCAATGTGCGAAAGGGCTTCAAGTTGACCACTAGTTGTGACGCAGGTGGTGTTGGCCGAAGCGGTTGCGGTCATGTTACCATGGCAAGGGCCAGCCGCGTATCATCGGATAAGCAGGTCCTACTTGTGTAGCGTGTTGGACTGTCAATTGCTGCGTGTTTGCATTTATAAGGCTAGTTGGTGTGAAATATCAATATCACAGAATCGCAGCGCAATCCTGCACATACCTTATATAACAGTCAGATTTCATTGTGCTGGATTCCAGTGAGGAATCCATCAGCTACGGGCAACAGGCCATGCTCCCATATCCTTGCTCACCTGCTTGAATGTTTTGGACTGCTTGCACTGACTTGATTGACCTGCCTCATTATCAGGTGGGATGAAGCTGCAGAGCTTCCTTCAGATGTTTGAGATCGTCGGATCCGCTTACTTTCTGGCCTTCCCGACCATTTTCGTGTTAGTGCAGGCAACGCAGTTTGGTTCTTGTGACGCGGTGTTTGTTACAGGCCCTGTCTCTACCTCACTCCCAGAGTGTGCAGTAACGCCAGCAGAATGAATATGATTGAACACCGCGCTGGGCAGCTAGAGATCCAGGGTCACTCTTTGTCACAGTATGTTCAGAGTCTTGGCGCCAAGAACTTTTGGTTCATTTTGTCATCTACTATATTGTAGTGCGTTTGAAGACACAGGACTTTTGGCTCCTTTTGGGTCTTCAGTTCACAGCACTCCAGCTGTGTACAATCAGATGTTGAAGTCGTGGCGATCTTCTCTTTTTGGCGTTTCCATTGGTCTTTGAATGTATGGACGTCGTGGCGATGTCGTGTTTGGTTGGGGAGAAGACAAGGAAGCAGCGGCAAACAAAACGCCGATCACAGCAGACAAGAGAAAAGAACAAGATAGAGCCCACGAACCCAAATGCAAACACGTACTCGAAGACAAACATACAATTAGTTTTCGACACTCTTGTAGGAGACACTTTTGTAGGACACATTCTTTTCGGAAACCTTTGTGGAACACTCTTGCGCACTCTTGTGTGGGACACCTTGTATGACACCCACTTTTGTGGGACACTCTTGGTGGGACACTCATGACTCTTGTAGGACACTCTTGTGGGACACTCTTGTAGGACACTCTTGTCGGACACTCTTGCGGGACACTCTTGTTTGACACTCTTGCGAAACAGTCTTGTAGGACACTCTTGTGGGACACTCTTGTATATATGTCACTCTTGTGGGACACTCTCGGAGGACACTTTTGTCAGACACTCTTGTGGGGCTGTGTTTCCATTCCGTTTGCTGTGCTCAGCATTGCTACCATCATGAAAATCTGGAACTGCCGTTTGTTTGCCATGCGACCCAAGTGGTTTCTCCAATTCTCTTTTCTTCTTTCTTTCCCTTTCACTCTCACTAACAGCCATTGTCTCCTCTCGTGTCGTGTTGTCCAGCCTGGAGCTCGTTCTCCTTCTTCCAAACCATGGGCTGCAACCACCAGCCCAAGCATCAGCAGCGCCATCATCTGCCACCTGCACTGGATGGCCAAGCTCAAGCAAATCACCTTGAAGATCTTGTCGTTGACCTTCTCTATGGGGATCTCGATGTAGTCCACCATCTGCTCATTGAAGTTCACCATGCTGCTGTTCTCTTTCTTCTGGCACTTCTCGATGTCAAAGTTCAGGATGTAGTTTTCCTTCTTGTAGGTGACATTCTTCTGCTGGTCAACCATTCGCTGCTGCTGGATTCGCCCATCCAGCTCATTTCTCTTCTCCATGGTGCTCTCTCTGATCTCCTCGTCGACCTCGTCCTGCGCCATGTCATTCTCTGTGATGAGGTTCTTCTCTTTCTCTTTCTCCTCGAGTGAGTTCCCATCTGCCTCACTCCATTGCTGAGCCCTCAGCTCAGTCCTGAGCACCATGGCCTCATCATCCATCAACTGGGACTCGAACCCAATTGTAGTCACCTTGGCATTCTTGCAGGACTCTTTCTCGACATTCTCATTGCCATGAACTCCATGTCCAAGGCTGGCGCTCTTCTTCTCCACGAGGTCCCCCTTGACCTTCTTTTCCTCCTTCTCTTTCAGTGAGTGCCACCATTGCCATCATCTGAGCTCCTCCAAGCTGTCCAGGACAAAGTGTCGCCAAATGAACTGCTCGTTGAGGTTGTCCGGGATGTAGGTGCTATGCCAGCGCCGCTCCAACATGTAGTCGAGCTCCTCAAGGACATAGACCTTGTCGAATTCCATGCCAGTTGCCCTGGAATCGTCTCGTTGGGCTTCTCATCAGCTCCTGGACCTGACCATCATGGCCATCGCCATCATCGCCATCCATGGCGTCGCAAGCGTGTGAGCCCTCATGACCGTAGCTTGCCCACGGTCAATCCTCGGGCTCCGCTACCATGTCAAAACATGGCTGCGGTCTTTTCCTTTGGGCAGAAAAAGCCACGTCAGTTGAAGGTTTGTGAACTGTACATGCTATGCATATCTATGCATGATCTAGGCAAATCTCACACTATCAGGAGACTCAAACCCCAAAAACATCCCAAGAGTCTCTAGACTCTAGAGAAGCACCCAAGCTCTTGAGGTGCTGCTAAAAACAGCATCAGTCATCAACAGCCGGCAACCAATATAGCTCTGACCAATCTTCGAGTTTGCGGCTGCAAAAAGGGGTGATGTATGTACACATGTATATATATATATATATTTGTTAATTATACTATTATATACATATATATATATCAACTGATTCAACTTACGGCGCTGTAGCAGCCTGTGAGTCAACCCTACATTCACACAACCCGTTCTATACAACCAGGCTGGCTGTAGCTGTGGAATAAACGCAGCTTGGGACAATGGGCATTCCTGCATACGCCCAGTTTGTGAAGAATGTGTGGCATCAGTATGAACCATTCCTTGCATGACTGGCAAAATTGGTTTTCAAGATCCAGTGTGCGGATCACTTTGGTCACCAACTTCTGCCATGAACGTATGAGCAGACTGTGAGCGGGGACCCGGACTTGCTGCAAAGTTTGGAGTGGGACACTGTTGCGATTTTCCATGAGACACTGCACACATAAATGTAAATAAGTTTGACAAAAAACACAAACAAATAAAAACGATACGAATAAACAAATGGGACACATGGAAGGCGATACGAAGAGTGAGATCGAAGCGATACAAAATGTGCAACTGACCCCGCCCAAATACCGCTGTGCATGTCAAAATTCAGCAAAGGTCGGCCAAAAAAGGTGCCTCATGGATGCGCGAATAATTTGTACCGATGTACAGTGAAAACCGCGTCTTGGTGACGCATGCTTTGATGTTTCGCATGGACCCCAAGCACGCCAAAACCATGTCATCTCGGACGAGCTATTCCCATAGTGGGACAACTTGTGTCCCCCAAAGGAAACGCAACGCCAGGAGGGTTCCGGCATAGCCCTTGCAAAAACCATCTTCCCGCATGGAAACGCAATGATTTAGCAGTGCTCATGTTTACGGTAGGTTGGTTGGAACAGGAGTTGCACTTTCAGGTTTGCATGTTCATGCTTTGTCGTTCGTTTAATCGGTCATTTTTGCTGATGCCATTTTGGCTCAAGCTCATTGCCAGGCAAGAACAGTCTTTGATAGATTCGTTTGTCCTGTTCAGGGCCTGGGAGCAATGTCGGAAGCTGCGCAGCCAAAGGCCAAAACCATGCCTAAGTTCAAGGCAATGCCTGCGGCACTTCGCCGTCAGATGTTCAATGCCTCTGGCCGCCAGGATGAGACTAGCTCAGTCAGCTCTTGGTCATACGCTGAGGTTGAGCCAGCTGTGGATGATCCGTGGCCGGAGCCGGCTATGGAACCTGTTCAAGAAGATAGCGCTCAGCCTGCCGAATCTGGTCAGCCCGCAGCTGCTCAGCCTGTGGCTCCTCAAGTGGTTCCACCACCACCTCCTCCAGGAGGTCCATCGGCTAGCTCAGCAGCAGCACCTGTTCTCCAAGCAGCGCAGAGCTTCCTCAACCACACGAACGAGACCCCTGCCTCTCGGCGACTTCGTGAACGTCAAGAGCAAGCAGCTCGAAGAGGGAGGCGTGCCTATCGTTGGGGCAACCTGGCTCCAGGGAACCTCAGGCACAACCCGCTCAACACGGCCTTGCCAGATCATTTGTCGCAGATTGGAGCCGGGGAAGGCGAGCGATCAATTCTGATCATTGACAATCGTGATATGAGGATCCAGTCGCCTTTTCAGAATTGGTTGCTTGATGAAGTGCTCACCAATGCCTTGACATACCTCAATGTCAAGTCAGACCGCTCGCTTGTGAAGTCTCCCTCGACTGGTTATCACTTCAACCTCTTCCTTGTGCGCACGCTGGACAGTGTGAAGGTGATCATTTGTGGCTCGGCAACCTGCTACTCAAGCGCACCGTGTGCCAAGTGGGATGCCGCAACTGGCCTGGTTTTGAGTCACTCGGCTTCTCAGCCATTCCGCTGGCCTCCAATGACCGAATCGAGTCCTACCTGGGTCGATATCAAAATGAAGTTGGAAGGCCAGTTGTTGGTTCATTTAGAACTTCGTGGATTCCGCTCGGACGCTGACATGAGCATCCAGAGGATCCATGTGGCGGACGCCATCTTCAATATCTTGAACGATACGGTGTTCATCCCGAGCTTTGTCATCACGGTCTTCCAAGGGTGGCGTGTGGTGGCCATCTCCTTCGAAGTGGGCGGTCGCCTTTACGCATGTTCGGAGGGCGGGGTCGTTGCGGCACTTGATCATCCACTTTGCCACTTCGAATGATTCACTGCGACCAGCTCGCCCGACTCGTTCGGCGCCGACGCAGATCGTTTAGAGATGCGATTCTGGTCAGCCAGCGATCGACTGGATGTTGCTTGCAATACGGCCTCTATCCCGTCTTCCTGGCTGGTGATCAGCCGTGTGTCCGAACAACTTTGATCCGAAACGCCAAGTGGTGCCGAGATCATGGTACAAGGGTCGAAGGGCCTGATCAGGCACTCCAATTCAGTCAACTGGCGGCCATTCATGCCCATTGGACGGCTCAGGTGGAGGCCACATCGATCGATGACACGGGCCCGCGCATTTCAGGCATTGCGGTCGAGCCCAACCCGATCAACATGCATCTGGTTTGTGAGCGTCCGTTGTTCCGCAATTCGAGGGCGATCGTGAATGCGGACGCGCTCACGTTGCAGCACCACGACCCGAATGAAGAGGTCATGGCAAACATTCTGCCCCCGATCGTGGAATGTCCTTTGGCGCAGCCGCTTGCATGAAGGTGCTCCCAAGCTCGCTCCAGCGCTGACTGGCCCAGGTGACTTTCGTGGTGTTCCTGCCGCGCCGGTCAGCAGCGCGAAGCCATCAGTGACGGATCCGGGACAAGCTCCAGCGCCCAGCTCATGGACAGGAGGGTCGCTTGCTCCACCCATGCGCTCTCTCGAGCATAGGTGCAATGAGCCTTTGGATCAGTCGGCTATGACGCC